TGTATGCATGTAAGTATGTAAGTATGCAAGTATGTAAGTATGTATGCACGGTGAGATTTACTTCGAGATTAGGCAGCGTGTGATGTGTGTATATGTATACATGTATTTGTGCATGTACGCATGTATATTTGCATCTCTCTCTGTTTGTGTATGTATGTATGCATGTATGTATGTATGTATGTATGTATGTATACATACATACATTCAAACCAACATGCATACATTGTATACATACATACAGATAGGAAACGGGGCTTGTAGGGTTTGGTGTGACAGGTTCCGCGTGACTTGAGGGAGATCCACTGCTTTAAACTCTCCAGTATCCCCAGTCCGCTTCGAAGCAACTGGGGAGGAGGAGGGCTTGGATTTTAGGGGCCTGTAGGGTTGAAGGTTTCGGGGTGCCAAAGCCTCAAAATCTTTGTCAGGAAATCCGCCGGGGTCAGGCCGGCACGCGTGAGCTCCTGGGCTTGGACAGTGCAAAAGAAAAGGCCTTACTAATTAGACTAGGCTTCTGGGGAGAAGCTATGGGGACTATGAGGGAATACCGGTAGTAAATGTTCCGACCCCTCTGTTAGGATGTGTGGCCTAGACGGTGTGTTACTGTTCCTTTGGAATGACTTCTTAATCACCTGTGCGAAAAAGGAAACCAAGGAGTGTAACTAGAGATAGTATTCGTTGTTACGGATCTAGCGGGCTGGGAGTAAAGGCTGACGTCTGGACCTGAAACCATATGCCCATCGGGCTTGGTACCCGACCTCTTCGAACACCGCCTCGTATACCGAAGAGTGAGTGCCGAAGCCGATTGGATGTGTATGTGTTCTTGCTTCAAAATCCTTCGACCGGCCTGATACGGAATGTACCACAGCGCAGGGCTCGAGGATTTCGGGTTGTGGTTGAAAGACGTCGAAGAGTTTTTTTAGGTTTAGGGTTTATGATCTTTGCGGTTTGGTCCTCAGGGAGTTTTGCATCCGCATGGCTGGCCTACAGGTGTGGGATTTTGGGGTGCCATGGCGTCGCCAATGAATCATAGCTCACAGTGGTAGGTTTAAGGTTTCGGGTATATGTTGCAGAACAACATGTGCAAACAAAACGGCGGCTTTCCAAGACTCGTAGGCTAGTATAGGTTCCAATGCCCCATAACTGCATAAAGTCAGCAAGTGAAGTGCTGTGTATATGTATATATATATATACATACGGCTTATTCGTAAGATTGCTGGAGCCTCGAGACTCCGAGAGTTTTGGGTTTGAAGTTGGAGGTCTATGGCCTGTGACACCTGAGCAGATGAAACTAAGACTCCATCATCCGAAGCAGGAAAACTCCAGCTCGGGGTTGTGCAGGAGCATTTGCTTGACCTGATAGGCGATCTGCCAGGTGCACGCCTACCTCAGGTATCTTTGGTCCCCTTTGAGCTTCAAACCCGATAAAGGGGCATGGCAGCGGCGTTTGCAGATCCAGCTGCCCCCAGCCCAAAACTTTCTGGACCGACCCCTGACAAACTGCCTCTTGAGCTACGGCTCCCAAACATGAGAACTGCTGGCTTCAGGGGTTGATTTGCTACAGCTCGCAGGTTCTACACGTCGGACATGGTCATGGAACATCACGTCCTAAACAAAAAGATGTGCCGTTACCCTAGTCTTGGGATTACTTCCGAGATGCTAAACCGGTATAAACCCCAAATCCCCAAACCCTACTCCATTTATTCCCAAACTTTACTGTAAGCCGCTCTTCGAGGTATCCACCAAGCAGACGAAGAAGCAGGCCTGCCTTCTTGCCGGCTCGAGCTCTAGCTTTCGGGGTATATTCTTTTTAGAGTTTGGGGATGTATAGACATCATTATGGGCTTGTGAAAATTTATAGGGTTTGTGGTGGTGTTTTGGGTTTGCGAGTTCAGAATTCGGGTAAAGGGCTGTTCGCGGAAAGGCTTCAGCTGCATACGGTTTAACTTGGTTTAGGGGATGTAGACCTGGGGTAACCCACCCCGCCTCCCCCCACGACGGGAAGCATTGTTTGATGCCCCGTTCTGCAACCGGCTAAGCCTTAGATGTCTGATGTTTGGTACCTTAGTTTTTTGGTCTTCGCAGGTCAACCATCTGAATGAAAGACGATGAACAGCAAACGGTTTGCAGTTTACCACGCAATGTATGTACGCTGTTTGTCCGATTGAGGCCGTGAACTTAGCATTGCTCTAGCATTTCTTTGAGTCGAGCCTGCCCAAGAGGTTTCCAGCCGTGCTACAGAATTGAGAGTAGTCATAAGGGAGCAGTCGTACCAAGCAATGAAGGCCCGAAACGGTCATGTTGTTGTGGCGACCCCAAACCCTAAACCCTAAGCCTTGCCAGGCTATGTCCGAGTGTGAGTGTCAAAAACCCTAAACCATATCTCAAGTCTTTAGGCTTTTGGGGCATGGACTGCAGGCTTTTAGTCCTACCAGTGTCGTTCCTTCCGCGGAGGTTTCTGCTGCAGCCGAACACGATCTCGAGGCAAGGACTCATTCTTGCGCGCGGATGCTTTAGCAAAAAGGGTTGAACCGCTAGGCTTTTCATGAAACTTCAAGGCTTCCATGACAAAGATCTTGGAACCCGAGTCAGACTTATCACAGTCTGCCACCCTAAGTAGTTACCTATACTATTTTGTGGCTTCCTTATTATAATTGTAACTGTAGTATAATATACCCCAAAACCCTATTCTACTTCAATCCCTGCAAAGGCCAACTCAGATCGGCTAGTATTCTGCTTTCCACACTTTACACACGATGACTTCCAGAAGGTGTCCGCACAATGCATAAGCTACGGTCACTACGTCATCTGATTTAGGGCCTTCGGGAGCAACCATCACATTTTCGGATTTCATGTGTTAATGCTCTGCAACGCTTTTTTGCTGGGCCACAGTGCGGGATATCCCGGGCGAATTGATTGCTTGGATGACCCTCTTGTAGTGCGAGGCTTTTCAACCGAGGTTTCTCTTTCCGTTTCTAGTACGAATGGTAGAATTGTGTACTTTCACTAATGCGAATTCGAATATTGGGCAATAAGCATACGTACGAACACGAAAGTCTAGCACTCGTGCAAATGCTGGCTGATATTCCAGATGTCCTAGGCTCATATGAGAGACTGTCAGTACGGCGTGTGGCCAGGGGGGGGGTTTAGAAACAGGGTGCCAATCCGGACACTCGAGAACCTTGCTCTCAAAGTAGTGCTGGTTGTTTTTTTTTAACAGGACTACCCTAAACCCTAAACCCTAAACCCTAAACCCTAAACCCTAAACCGTCCCTGTGGTTCAGAAGGCTCCACATCTTCCGCTTCCAGTCCATGTCATGTTAGTTGGACAGGCTTGTCTTGGTATTTCGTATGGCCTAAGTACATCTAGCATATGTTGCTAGTAGCTGCTACTGGTAACATAAAGAATTCTATCCACACTGCACCCATCTCAGAATCCCCATCCCAAATCTAGTAGCTGAGATCACAACCCCAAGCACATGCACCCACTTCCTAGCGCTTACGACTTGGATACTAAACCCTAAACCCTGCTCACCTTGGATACTAAACCCTCAGGCAAAAAAACAAACAAACCTACGCCCTACACCCTAAACCCATTCCTAAACCCTAAACCCTAAACCCTACGGAAAAACCTACAAAAACAGGCAAACCTACACCCTACACCCTAAACCCACGGGGGGCCCCACGGCTCACCTCAGGCATGACGCTGAATGTGGACTCGCAGCCGCTACCGTACAGCTCCTGGCAGCCAGCCTCGGAGCTCGGTGAGGCCGCTTTGCTCCACTGCCTTTCTCATGCCCCATATACATATATATATATATATATATACATATATATATATATGGTCATATATATATATATATATATGTATAGATGTATGCACTTATATGCATATATCTATATAGCACGGTATGTATATATGTATGTGTATTTATATATATATATATATGCATTATGTCATCCTTGTTCTTGAAGTCGAAGTACTTCTTTGATATGCGCGCATGTCGGTCTGGAATGCGTGGTTCCGCAAGTCCAGCCCTAAACCGGAAATTGGGCAACTGTACACACCACAGTTTTCCGCTGGCAGAAGGCCTCAAGGCGTGGCTAGCTTAGGCGCACTATTGTTGTAGTTTGCCTGATGTCAACTTCGAAGTTGGAGAAGAAGATTTGGACTCTGGAGCAGAAGTTGCGGGAAGAGTTCAATGCCGAGCTGCACAACGGACTTGCCAAGTTGCTGGCTAGAGTGGACCATTTGGAAACGGAGATGCTGCTCCTCAAAGGAGACACGGTTCCGGTATCAACGAATTCCAAGCCGAACGATGCTTTGGCCAGTGACTTCCCAGAAGATCCTGCTCCGGGGCGGATTGTTCAGGCGAAGCCTGGGCAAGTGGTGCCGCTTGTGGATGCAGGTCGAGAGGCCTGGGATCAGAACGAAATGCAAGACATGAAGGACCTCGAAGATGTCTTGGAGCCGGTGGGCTTTCACGAATCAACTTGGAATGTAGTTCTAGTGCTAGGGTTCACAGAGGCTGGATGGCTGGACAGCTTCATAAGCCTTTTGCTTCTGCTTGCCAGTGCTGCACTGCAGGTAACCATTAGTCTCATCCTGCTGTCTGAAGATTTCCTGGGGGAGCCGTTTTCCAAGCATATAAGCCACGCGGAGAAGTGGAGACGCGGGCTGGCACACGATTACAAACACATGGACCTTTCAGAGGTAAGTCTGGCCTCCCGGGTTTGCAATAAGGATGACACAATCATTGTTTCTACCAGCCAAGCGAATCTCATAGCGCAGATCAACGCCTTCCTGAGTATCAAGCCAGCACAAGTCGAGCCCACTGAGATGCGTCGCGGCATTCTACTCTGCATGCTCTGCATTTTTCTCTGGTGTCTCTACCTATGCAATGAATTCCGATCGATCGGCCTGTCTTTTGAGGCGATCTTACAGGTGCCGAGGCGAGCACGGACCAAGTTTCAGCAGGGGCGCTTGGTGAGTATATCCTTTGCGCGATGCTTTGTGTTCTGCTTTGCGCGGCTAGTACGAGGCATGATTGCGGGCTTTTTGCTGTACGGTGGCATCCTTTGGCTAGCTAACACGACATCTATCAAAGACCTGGTGCTGAATGCCGTGGCACTTGGAGCGATCTTGGATGTCGACGAGATGTTCTTTGCGGCCCTGATGCCCAAGAAAATTCAAATCAAGATTCAGGACGTCTAATATGTGGAGAACTGTATGGGGACAACGCCTAGTCTCTCTAGAGGCTCGAGGTTACCAGCCTACGCATATATACATATGTATATGTATATA